CCTAATCCCCTAACCCCTAAACCCCTAAACCCCTAACCCCTAAACCCCTAACCCCTATATCCCCTAATCCCCTAACCCCTAAACCCCTAAACCCCTAACCCCTAAACCCCTAACCCCTAATCCCCTAAACCCCTAACCCCTAATCCCCTAATCCCCTAACCCCTAAACCCGTAAACCCCTAACCCCTAAACCCCTAACCCCTAATCCCCTAATCCCCTAACCCTTAAACCCCTAAACCCCTAACCCCTAAACCCCTAAACCCCTAACCCCTAAACCCCTAACCCCTAAACCCCGAACCCCTAATCCCTAAACCCCTAACCCCTAATCCCCTAATCCCCTAATCCCCTAACCCCTAATCCCCTAAACCCCTAACCCCTAATCCCCTAATCCCCTAACCCCTAAACCCCTAAACCCCTAACCCCCAAACCCCTAACCCCTAATCCCCTAATCCCCTAACCCCTAAACCCCTAAACCCCTAAACCCCTAAACCCCTAACCCCTAATCCCCTAATCCCCTAACCCCTAAACCCCTAAACCCCTAACCCCTAAACCCCTAACCCCTAATCCCCTAAACCCCTAAACCCCTAACCCCTAAACCCCTAAACCCCTAAACCCTAAACCCCTAACCCCTAAACCCCTAACCCCTATAAACGACCCCACCTACCCCTAACCCCCCCCCCCCTAATCCCCTACCCTAAGCCCCTAAACCCCTAAACCCTAACTCCCCAACCCCTAAACCCCTACCCCTAACCCCTAACCCCTAAACCCCTAAACCCCTAAACCCCTAACCCCTAATCCCCTAATCCCCTAACCCCTAACCCCTAAACCCCTCCCCCCCTAACCCCTAAACCCCTAACCCCTAAACCCCGAACCCCTAATCCCTAAACCCCTAACCCCTAATCCCCTAATCCCCTAACCCCTAAACCCCTAACCCCTAAACCCCTAACCCCTAATCCCCAAATCCCCTAACCCCTAAACCCCCAACCCCTAAACCCCCAACCCCTAAACCCCTAACCCCTAATCCCCTAATCCCCTAATCCCCTAACCCCGAAACCCCTAAACCCCCCAATCCCCTAATCCCCTAATCCCCTACACCCCTAACCGCTAACCCCTAAACCCCTAACCCCTGAACCTTTTATGGCCCAGTAAGGCTGGACGTCAAGCGCGGCGACGGCGTGAGCTCCATGCACCTTACCGCTGGTTAGTAGGGAATGGAAGAATGGTAGTAATAGTAGTTATAATTGTACCCCATCTAATTATTAAGGCCCCTATATTATAGTACCCTTTTCGATCCCTTATAGTAACAATAGTAGTACTAGTAGTAATAGTAGTTATAATTGTACCCCATTCCTCCATTCCCATTATAGTACCCTTTTCGATCCCTTATAGTAACCCTTATAGGCCCCATTCCTCCATTCCCCACTAACCAACGGTAAGGCACTGGCCCAGAGTTCGTCTACGGCTTGAGGAGGCCACGGGTGGGGGCCCAGTGGGTCACTACGCTTCCGTTAAAGGGATCTATAGGGGTACCTTTAAGGGCTTCCTTTAAGGGATCTATAGGGTTTAGGGCTTAGGGTTGATGATATAAATCCTGCCTTACCTTCAGGGCCCTAAACTGTGGGAATTATGGTATATTCCTTATTATGGATAATGCAGGATTTATATCATCAACCGTAGGAAGGGTTACGGTAAACGGGTTTCTATAAAGAAGAGGTTGTTGGTATCATTATCATTATCAATATTATTAGTATTATTATATTACATGATTAGTGGCATTATTGGTATTATTAGTAACAGTAGTATTGTTGTTGCTAATAATGCTATTAGTTGTCAGGGTTCCACAAGGGTTACCAGAATAAGGCCCTACAGCCGCCGCAAGCCCCCAGCCCCAGACCCATAGGAGGAAAGTTGGCCCGGCTGGCCCTGGCTGACGGTTCTCTGGGCCTACATGCTTGGCTTGGCGACGCAAGGGCTGCCGCGCACCGCCCTTGAAGTCTGCAAGCTGGTTCTGGCTATGACACTCCCTCGCGATCCATTGCATGCACTGGTGAGCTTAGCTGTCATATACCGCACTTCTTTGATCATGCTTTGGAAGAGTGTTTGCGTTTCTAGGACTGATAGACGTGAGGTGCACCTGGATTTTTTCTGCTTGCGCGCCCAAGAGTATTCCCTGCTGGTTGACATTGCGGCAGGTTTCGACCTGCCATGCTCACTTCCAGACAAGACCATCCTCCGTTTGGACTGTGCAATGCCCAACTTCGCCTACTCTACTGCCTTGGCCCTGCACTTCCTTAAGTCAGGGGGACGGCAGGCCACGAAGAATACTGATGAAGGAAGCGCCATCAGCACGGTCTCTGTGGAGGACCTTACGCAATCGTGCTGGGCGCGCCAGGAGTTTCAAGAAGACGGCCCTTCAAGATCACACGTCGCTTTGATGCGTGCTATGCTGTTGTTTCCCCGGACACTGCGCCCAATCCTTCAGGAACTTAGCATTTCTCTGGTGACTGCTCCCGCGGGTTCGCCTTACAGCACCCCCTGGCAGCAGCTGCTGGACAAGAGCCCGTTTGCTCCTCACACGCACAAGGTCCACCAGCAGTATTCCAGAATACACAGCTTGGTCTCGGAAGCCTTCGTCCACCGTTGCGCAGCGCTCTTCCGAGCTGAGGGAACCCTTCGGTGGCTGCACGCTTGCGCCGGGCGCCTGGCGCAAATGTGCGAGTCCTCCCTCTTCGACCAGGATCACAGCTCCGGACTCCCAAGTTTCCATTGGATCCTAATTGCCAAACCTTCACCTCGAAACTCGTAAGCCGTAAGCCAGAGCCCTAGAGTGTAGGTGCGAGAGAGAGCGAGAGAGAGAGCTTGCAAGTCAGTGCGTAAGAGAGAAAAGAGAGAGAGAGAGAGAGAGAGAGAGAGAGAGAGAGAGAGAGAGAGAGAGAGAGAGAGAGAGAGAGAGAGAGAGAGAGAGAGAGAGAGAGAGAGAGAAGGAGGGAGAGAAAGAATATGAGTTGCTTTTTGGCTGAGTGGAAGAAGGAAGCACATGAAAGTGTGAGTGCGTATCTACAACCCCAGGCACAAGTAAAGGTAACGTAGGTAGATGGAGAATCATGTCTGGCATGCACCCGGAAGGAGCTGATGCAAGCTCGGAAGGCCTGGAGTGAAGCAGAGCTGGGAATCGGGGAGGCTTTCGGCAAGGATTACCACGACTTCAACACTTTGGAGGTGGAGGCCGAACGAAAGCCGCCGGCAGTGCTGGAACGCGCCTTCAACAGCTGGGTGGGAGGCTCTCAGGGCCCCCCAGGCTCAGAACGGAAAACCTTCAACCCTCAAACCCTTAAGCCCTAAATCCTAAATGCCTAAACCCTAAATCCTTCAACCCCTAAACCCTAAACCCAAACCCTAGACCCCTAAATCCCTAAACCCCTAAACCCTCAAACCCCCAGGCCCGGGCCCGGGGCCAGCGGTCCCGGAGTCGGAGGAGGCGCAGCTGCAGCGCGCGCTGCACCTCTCCGAGGCCCTCGCAGAGGCCTCGGAGCGGCGGCGGCTGGTGGAGGACCAGATTTTGATTCTCCTTTTCTTTTTATCTTATATTTTTTGCTTTTTCTTTTTTTTTGTCTAGGTTTTTCTTCTTACCTTTGGCTCTTCTTGAGGACTTTGACTTATGGACCTTAACTTAAGCTACTTTACCATAAATAGGAAGGAAGCCATGGTATTTGCTAAAGATCCCGAAAATGGTAACTTCAATTGACCTCCGTAACAAGAAATTAAATTCGGAGGAGCAGGATGCAGAATTCCAGGCCAGCCTGACCGCCGACAGGGCCCGGGAGGAGGGGACGCAGAGAGCGGAGGGGGAATCCGAGCCTGAGGATGCCAGTGCCGATGCCGTGGCGCCGCTCTGCTCAAATAAGGAATGGGGTTCATGAGCCAAGAAGTCACAAGTCCTAAGTCCTAAGGGGCCACTAAGGGCTTCATGAGTCATAGGTTCTCAGTCTTAAAGGGGTTCACGAGGCAATGAGCCTGTGTTGAGGTCGGGGTATCATTGTGGCTTGTCTTTCGTCTCAGGCAACTCGAGGCTATGGGCTTTGCAAAGGATGCTGCCCGGCAAGCGCTGCAGAATGCGGGTGGAGACGTTGCAGAAGCCGTGAACCTCCTCACCGGGTGACAGTTTTCCACCGCTCGCCTCAAAGCTGCGACGAGCTAGTGCTGCACAGGGAGTCGTAGCTCCAAAAATCAACGGCCTTTGCTGTCCCGGAATGCGTTCACCTGCCCCAGGGGTGTAGAATCTTTCAACAGCCCACATATTTGAATATAAGACACTGTTATGTGCCTGAAAAGCCCTATAGTCTTGGTCTCCAGGCTGATCCCCAAAATCCTTGTGTTTAGAGCACACTCCGACCTTCCATTTCTTCATCTCGAATCTTCCCCTGGGGCCAAATCTGAATCCTGCAGCCTCAACCTCGCACACCTTCAAAGCTGAGCTTTACGACCCTTCGCCCCTTAAACTCTAGATCTATTTTTCTACAGCTGCAGCATTAAACCCTCGACCTCGGATCTCAAGTACATTTATTTATCCTGAGCTTCAAGCATGAATACAAAAGGCAACCCAACATGCTTCAGTTTGTCACCATTAAGTTTCAATATTGTCAAAACAAGCATCGACCATGAAGCCTGAACTCTACACTACAAACTCTCTAAACCATGGCCTCAACTGGATCCCTTAAGCTTAAACCCGAGACCGTAGACGCTAAGTTCCATGCCGTGAGCCTCACGTCAAAACTCATCAGCTCCAAAATCTACGCCCTGAAGCCGAAGGACCAATGACCTTATCGACCTTAGCACTTGAACCGCGGGCCCTGAACGATTCTAGATCAACACCGAACCCTAAGCCTTAAACCCTCAACCCGAACCCTAGATGGGTTAGCCGTGAGGGGTTTAAACCTTGAACCCTCAATCCGAAATCGTATGCTGCACCATACCCTCAGCGCCAGACCCGATTCCTTTCAGGGCCTTGACGTTGAGGAGTCGGAGGGGCCGGCATGAATGATCTGTGGGGGACCAAGTTTAGGATGAAGTGTTTGGGGTTTAGGGTTTTGGGTTCAGGGTTTAGGGCTTAGGGTCTAGGGTTTGGGGCTTAGGTTTGGGGCTTGGGGCTTGGGCTTGGGGTTTAAGGGCTTTGGTTTTGGGGTTTGGGGTGTTCCCTTTGAGTTTCGAGGCTGCTGGGCTGGCAGGAAGGTTCGTTAGGAAGAAAATCCAGGCACAAGGGAGCTCTTACTTGGCTCTGTTTTTTGTTATCTTTTCCTGCGGTTTTCGGGTTCATGCAGATTCTGTGGTGTTTATTGCCTTTGGTGGCTTCTGGCATACACCCTGACCCCTCCCGCCTACCTCTAAAGACAAGTGAGTTGGGCGCTGGGCGGGTTTAGTTGCGTGCACAAGTGAGTTGAGTGCTGGTCGGCGGGTTTAGTCAAGTTTCGCGATTTGTCGGGGTTTAAGGTTTGATGCAGAACTGAGGACTCTACAGCATGTAGCGAGGCTAGCGACTGTTTTGTGGAAAGTCGAGATTGAACCCTTAAGGCCCTCAAGTGCCCATGAAATTGCTGTTTTGGCACAGACTGGGGGCCGGATATCGAAAATCCATTCCTTCGAAGTTTCCCTGCCTTGAAACTCAAATCTGAATCCTAAACCCTGAAACCTAAAGCCGGCCCCTACATTACAAAGCCCTACACTGCTGCTTCTGCCTTCCTGAACCCTCAGTCCCAGGTATCGTTGCAGGAACTGGGATGCTGGGCATCTAAGCTGCGCTTGCGACATCTTTGTTCGACGGAGTGCTTCGTGTGGCGTCATGATGTAATCTCACCCGAGGTTGGAACATTCTGAGTTCCGGTGGCAGGGGGGGACCTAGGATGGGAAGGCAGATGGCAAGCATGCTGCCAAAGAAGTCAGCTGTTTCTCCATTTTGCCTTCACTGGTATTTTGGTTAGTGTATTTAAGCAAGCAGTTCGTTCAGCCGTAGCATCTCTGCCTACTTGATTTGAGAGCCCTAGCTTTGTTGCAGACTTGCGACGGCTTGAGCATGCAGCATGCGGCATCGTGCATCTTCGGCGCAGCAATCGGCTCAGTTTTTCACTGCGACCATACGTACCGTTGGTTAGTAGGGAATGGAAGAATGGTAGTAATAGTGGTTATAGTTGTACCCCATTCCTCCATTCCCTACTAACCAAAGGTAAGCATAGACAGAGGAGTCCAGTGCCATGCCGTATGCCCGACGCGGATTCGTGTCCACAAGCCTTCAAGCGCGCATGCAGTGTAGACGCAGTGACATGTTCATTACCCTAAACCCGAAACCGAAGGCCTTTCGATCCGTGCGTCCAACCATGAGAACGAATGATGTGGTCTGTGGCTGCTTGTTTTGTTTGGAGTTTAGGACTTAGGGTTTAAGGTTCTACTTAGTGTGTGAAGCCTAAGGCGCGAAACCACTTAGCAGCATTAGACGATCAAATTATCAAAGGCTTCGCGGCCATGCTGCAGACGACTCGAAATTGAAGATGGATAAATGGCCGGCAGACGAATTGAGGCAAGCTGCCGAAGTATCGGTTCGGATGTGCGTGTTCTTGGAGTATCAGAGTTTCCAAGCTTTCGTTAGGTAGCTGTCGTAACAGAACTTGCAGGACGTGTAGGATGCTACAAGCTCGTTCGCGCTGCCTCAGGATCTCTTACAAGTTAAAGTCTTGCAAGTTGTTGCTTGGGATTTCAACCCCCAAAGCCCTGAAGTCTAAACCTTGTACCCTATGATACAACCCTATAGTACCCTTCAAAGGAACCCTATAAATCCCCAAAATCATAAACTCCCAGGCCTTCGGCCGCCAGGGGGGCAGCACCCGGCCAGTCGAGGTGACGACAACTTTGCTGCTTTCGATGTGCAGTAGACGCATATCACCTTAGCGAAGGCTGCTATGTGAGGAGCTGAGATCGGTAAGGCCAGGTGGTTCATGTTGCTAAGCTGCTTGTCAAGTGGGCCCGAAAGTCGAAACCGCAGCTGCCAGTTTTCTGTCGAGCAAAGCTGTTGAGACCTCATGGCGCCGAAGGCCAAGGCCAAGCCCAAGGCTGCCCCCAAGCGTGTCGCCAAGTCGGGCCTGAAACTGGGCCTTGGAGTATCATACTTTAATACTCTTTTGGGACCTGTTACTTAAGGGGAACCCATTATGAAATGAAAGTCTATACTGTTTGCCCTGGTTACTTCAAAGCCCAGGAAAAGCAAAGCCGGGCGCATCGCCGTCATTCCCGCTTCGGGCCTCGCTGCCAAAGGTAGCGTGCTCAAGGAGGGTGGGGAGACCTACGATGCCGACTTGAACTTGGTAGACGCCGCCAAGAATTCTGACAAGTTCTACAAGATGCAGGTGGTGCAGTCCAGCGACAAGTCCAAGTACTGGTTCGTGCAACATTGGGGCCGGAACGGAACTGCTGGGCAGGTGCAGGTCAAAGGGCCATCCACCAAAGACAAGGCCATCAAGCTCCTCCAGCAGAAGTTCCGGCAGAAAGCCGGCGTGAAGTTTGAGGACCGCGGCAAGGGTGGCGCTGCTTCTCCCGGCAGCACCGCCAAGACCGGGAAGTACGAGATGCTTGACAGGCGCCTGAACAAGGCCAAAGCTGGCCGTGCCAAGGGAAAGGGTGCCTGGCCTGGGCTATTGATACTTAAGAAGCCCAAGGCATTTTTCTTGTTTTGCGTCGTTTGCAAGGGTTTTGACAGGGTCTTGGGTTTTAGGGCTACCTCGGTTGGTACGAGTTACAGACAGACAGCTGGGTGTTATGGGAGCTTCAATCGAGCTCCTCGAGAAAACATCCGGGTGCATGAGCCATCCCTAAACCCTAAACCCTAAACCCTAAACCCTAAACCCTAAACCCAAACCCTAAACCCTAAACCCTAAACCCTAAACCCTAAACCCTAAACCCTAAACCCTAAACCCAAACCCTAAACCCTAAACCCTAAACCCTAAACTCTTTCCTAAACCCCAAGCCCCGAACTCCAACCCTTGAACCCTTAAACCTGTAAACCCAGGTGCCGTGGCCATCTCGTTGATGTGGGACAACTCGAAGAAGCTGGGCTCTTGTTAAAAGATTTTACAAAGGTTACCATAATAGGGGTCTTTAATCCATAATACTACTTAAACCATAGACCCCAATAAGGTCTCTTTAATTTCGGGAGCTGATATTAGCTTCCTTATCAAGAGCCCAGGAAAGGAAGGACCAATGACTTGGATCTTCATGTGGTCCCACCCAGCAAGGCCCAGAGGGTTTAGTTGTTATTTTGTAGGTTTTTCCTGGTTTTTGGGCTCCGGGTTGCGACTTTTGAGCATAGACTTCAGGGTTCGGTTTCCTGGCTCGGGGCTTCAGGCTATAAGGCTTTAAAGTTGGGGTCTGGGCTTTGCGTGTGTAGGGCCAGTATATACCTTCAACAGCTTGTGTTTAGGGTTGGGTTGCTGCAGGAGAAGATCTGGTTCCAGCACAAGAAGTCCGCATGCAAGGGAGAGTTGGATGTGGACCGCATGCAAGATTGCAAAGAGCCGGTGGAGAACATCGTTTGGAAGAAGAACGCACCCAAGGGCAAGTACACGGTGTCTGTGGTCAATTTCAGTTGCAGCCACGCGAATGCCGTTCCTTTTGATGTTGGCATTTGCATCAACGGTGGCGAGACGCAGATAATTTCCAAGTCCGTGAACGGCAAGTCCGGGGCGAAGGTAACCGTCAAGTCGTTCCAGTACACTGGCTAGGGGAACACTCCAGATGCTGGCGTGGAGCTCCTACGCCGCCATGATGGTGCGTTTTGAAGCACCTGACATCAATCGGTTCTTGCGGAGTAAAAATGCTGCTCAACTTAAGCGTTCTTAGACTAAGTTGTGCCTTCTTTACTTGATTCAAGGTTAGGTTTGAAGTTAGTCGCGCCTTCTTTGCCTGATCTGGGGTTTGGGTTTATGGGTCAGAGCTGATGGCATTTTAGTCTGGGGGCCCCGTTGGACTTCAGGCATAGTGCGTTTAGGGCTTCGGCTTTGTGGGTTGGGGTTGAGGGCTTGGGGTCAAGGGTCTAGCGTTTAAGTAAGGTTTAGGCAGTTCGTCGTTCGCTGGTTGGGCTTTGAGAGTCGATCGCAAGATTCCGAGACGGGCAGGTATCTCACCATGTACGAAGAGTCCATGACTGCCATTCTCATTCAGGCCAGTTTGCGGGCTGCGGGTCCTGGCTTACTTCTTCAGTTGCAGGAGGCCGGGGCAAGTGCTACCAGTGCTAGCAGAGGCTCCTCACAGAATCTGGATTTTTCACTGTAAGCCGCAAGTAACGAGTATGGATCAGACGGACTCCTGACATAGAGTCATTCTATCATGACAATGACCAGGTAGGGCCACTGAGACCGGTGTGGCTAATCTCCATAATGGGCCTGTCCGCCCTTAGGCCAACATGATTGTGCTTCAAGGAAGCAACTTGAGTTCGACTCGAACCAATCAGAAAGCCCCCATGGCCTCAAGGCGCAGAGCCTCCGCAACCGGGAGTTCCCAGCCTCCGTGCAACTTTGCAGGACCCTGTCGATCCCAGCTTTCAGATTTTTGTACATCCGACCGGCGGTGGGATGAAGCGACCATGCTAAGCTTCTAACGAGGTCCCGCTAAGCCCGCTTCGGCACTTGCACACAGGACATCTGGAGAGCCGTTCAGTGACTGCTTTTGATGAGACCACGCCTCAGCTGTTGGGTAACACCTGGTGTTGGCATGCGGATCTCATGCAAAGTGAATCCGTACGCCACGCCATTTTGGCATCAAACAAATCCTGAGCTCAAAGACCGTTGTCCCACCTCTCCTGCCCAAGAGAGACAGAGAGAGAGAGAGAGAGAGAGTATCTCTTCCGATTCTATTGTCTTGTCCATTTCTGAGTACGACTGGGAACACCGTGGTCGCACTCTTGATCGATTGAGTGATTGCGTTACGAATCATATGGCCGAAAGTTCTCAAAAGATCGGTCCGGGGAACCGATGTCCACTCTTAGCTGCAGCAGGTACCTGGTCAACCTAAAACTTGCGGATGCGGCCGGCGCAATCGACACATCCTGACACCTCAATCGACCTAATGAGAAGCTGCCCCAATTCAAACTGCTGTCTGGAATCTGGCTCCGTGCCTTGTGCAGTCGATCTAGTTCATTCAGCCCAGCATCTCAATGTGGAGAACACGCTTCTAGCTCCTAGAGCCCTCGGTCTACAGTTGAGTCTCCATGACCACAACTCTAAGAATTGAGTTCGAGCCTGGAGCCCCCCCGAACATCATGAACATTGGCCTCCTGTTGATCTGCGGCCTTGTTCTGAGTATCTTTTTCGTGCCACAGACCATTGTGACCAGTTGGACACAGCCTCTACCCTGGAAAGCAGCAGCGTCTCTTGTTGAAGAGCCCTGGGTTGCTTGCATTGCTTTGCTAAGTCTCAGATTTGGAGAAGATCTTCCCGTCCATCGTCAGTGGCAAGACGCCGAAGTCTTATGGGGCCGGAGTGTGCAACCAGGAACCCCTAGGCCCATAACACACAACCTGCAAATCGAGAAATGTTGACATGCGTGAAAACCCCTTCATGTGGCGAGTGCTGGTGCTGGTTGCGGGATAAGCATCCAACAAGTCTACAAGACAGCTCAGGCTCGGGTAATCAATAACCGTACCCTACTCTGTGAAGTGTACAGACAGCAAGGCCAGCCAAATGTGGCTCCTTAATAGTTAGAATAGAGTTTTGGAGCCCAGTATACTATAATTATACTAAGGAACCCCAAAATAGCTACCCCACGCTGAAGGCTTCTTGGCGGCTACACCAACGCGCAATCCTCAGTGTGGTTTCAATATTGTCAACAGCCTTAACACCCTCATAATCCTGCCCATACATCAATTACCCGACGAGTCCTACACGTTCGCAACCAAATCTGAAAGCAAGGACCCTTAAGCTCAAGCCTTGCGAGTTGTATGTCACCTGTGCCCTACATGGTCTCATGGACTCATGGCCTCGAAACCAACAGAAAGATCACACAACCTTAAATCTGCAAGTCCCCAAGTCCGCTCCCACATATGTATTTGCGAAATACTGACGTGACGCAGCTGGCAGGGTTCGCATCAAGAATGCTTCGCCGCAAGGAGACGAAGACAGCGACGTTTCCGCCGGCAGCTGAGACAAGGGTGGTGTTGTGATTAGTCTTGGGACACCTGTGACAGATTGACAGCAGTCGTCGTATCTGCAGAATGCATGGATGTTTGATTTTTGTTTTTTTTTGCAGATGTTGGCAGTCTCGCCGAAACCCGTCTTCGCGATACAATGTCACCCCAAAGCCTCAAACTGTACACGCCGCTCTTCCGAGCCTGGGAGCATCCGAATGCACAATGCGCTGCGTGGCGAGAGTGGCATCGAGATCTGCGTTTTTGTCGTGCCCTGTGCAGCCTTTGCAGCTTGAATGAGATTTATCCCAAGTTTTCGGCCTTGACTTGCTCCAAGCTGTGCCATGCCGTGTGGACAAAGTTTGGTGCTCTTCTTCTTTAGCTTGCCAGTGTATGTGCAGAGCCTCACGAATGCCAGCTCATCATTGAGGCTTCTCTGCATTTCGTTGTCAATTTGCGAGGTTCCGACAGGTCGCATTTCGACAGCATGGCCGCCACGGCGTCGTTTCGCATACCGCCGAGGAGAGGTGCCATCCCACCCTCACAGACGTTTGCAGTTGCGCGGGCTCAAGGACACAGGCCTGATGCAAGGCAAACACGATGCGAGAATGCTGGATCCCAGCGGGCAAAATCTGGCACCGCAGTGTAAGGTGGTGCTTGTGCCAGGCCCAGGCGGTTGCAAAGCGCGGACCAAAGCGACTTCAAGCTTGGGTCGAGCTCGAGCATTGAGGCGCGTCGAAGCTCGACACGGGTCCCACAACTAGACACGGGGTAAACGCTACTAAGGTCGATGACGACGACGACGGTCCGGGCAAGAAGAGTTATGCGACGGGCGCCATCTTGACCAGCGGACTTCTGGTTGGTCGGGCATTTACGGCCGAATGATGACAATCGAGATGCGGATGAGGACGGACCATTGGAGCAGGTCTCCATGTGAAGTAAATCTAGATGAGCAAAGCCTGTGGAGCTTGCGCCGTATGAGTGCGGCGTAGGAGATGAACAAAAGCAACAGAAACAACAGTTTCGCGAAGGACCAGCGCGAAATAGGCAGGGAGGTGGCAAAGATGTTCATTGAAGTTGGCAGCGCCTTTGGTGACGTCATGCTCGAGCGCTTCGGACGCTCTGCGGCACGTTTCGCTCCCTTCATCGGGCCCATGGGAGTTCTTGCGCAAACGGTGCTCGACGTCTTCATCCCTCCGCCAGACATGGCCAGTGTGCAGTACGTGCAGCAATACGTCGGGCAATACGTACGACGTCAAATTGACGACTTGAGAATCGAGCTTTTGGAGGTCATGGACTCCAAGTGGGTTTAGGTTTTAAGGTTTTTTGTTTCAGGGTTTCGGGTCACTTTTGGAGGCCATGGACTCCAAGCTGGAAGAGCTCCGCAAAGATCTGAGGTCCGAGTTTCTGGAGGTCGAGGCCGGGAGCACCACAAGATTCGAATTCGGGAATCTCGTGGAGTTGTGTTAGCTTGATAAACTGAAGTATATTACAACATGTTGTAATATGTGGAAATATATTAAGATATATCATTGCTAGCATTGCAGGAGCTGATCTTCAATGCCATTGACCAGAACTCGTTCATGGAGACTGCGGAGAAAGTGCGCTCGGTGCTGCAGAGCATCGAAAGTGCTTCTGTCGGCAACATTGTGGACCCAGATTCATTCTTGTCTTACCTTCTGGCCGTCGAGGTTGACATCGCGCATATCCCGAACCTTCTTTTCCTACCCTGCTATAAGAATGGCTGGCCAAGTCTAGAGTGCAAGGACAGGGCGGTCGCTGGGGCTACGCCCTTGCTTGCTGCGATGGTGCCGGTGCACCTAGCCGTCCTAGACGGAATCATCAATACCTTACACTCCAAATGGCAGCACATCCGACAGCACATCACGCAGGCCACCGACGTTGATCCGAAGATCACGGCGCAAGCAGATGCATTGCTCGTGGAAAACTTCCGTGGTGTCGGCTGTCCAAATGGAAACCCCTCAGCTGCTGCTCTCACGGAGTTTAAAGGAGTAGATGAGGCAACATCTCTGTCCCACATGCGTCTTGGCAACGCTGGATGCAGCATGTGGTGTGTCTGTTCAAGCCAGTCAAGCACATGTCAGAGTCTCGCTGTCACGAGGTACGATTACTGCCTGGCTGCTGCAGCTCGGCGTTGATTCTCGTGCAGGGTTGTGCCAAGGCGAGCTCGTTTGCCCCCGATCTGAGGCAAATGTGGGAGAGGCCAACTGTGATGCTGCAGTCGGTCCTGGTTGGAAGCTGATGCGGCGAACACCAGGTGGAAGGTTCCCTCAGAAGGACCAGCTGGTGGGCAGTGTCAACGAAGGCGATCCCACCGGCGACAGTTTCTCGAAGGCATGGGCTAACGAGGATTTCGATGAGTTCCTCTTCGCTACGGGCGACTGTGCGAAGTGGATGGTTATGAGCAAATCGGAGGCAGGAATGCTACATCCGATAGCCCCTTACCCCGGTACTGTAGCTGCGAGCATGCAGGTTGAGGCAAGAAGACCCCTCCAGTCATTTCTGCGGACAATTTCTGGGAACTCCCACAAGACAGGGCTCGATTGGACACCGCTGCGTGCTTCTGAGTGTCCGTGCATGCAGCATACTGCACAAGCTCATACAGGAAACACGACGGAGTAAACATCCGCGCGAGATTCACCCGCGGAAGACATCGTGTATGTGTGTATATATATATATATATATACATACATCAAAAATAAATATACATAAATAAATCAGTAAATACATATATATATATATATGCTTATATATATATATATATATATATTCCTTGTATTCATACCTGCAGCATACATATACCCGCCTCGAAGATGGCGTGGGAGTCTTAACGGTTTCTGCGGAAGATGGAATCGACTCTCCCGAATTAGGGACAGGGCCATGCGCCTGGCCGGAGCTCCCAAGGCTTTAGGGTTTGGGGGTTTAGAGGTTGAGGGGGTTTAGGGTTTAGTGTTTAGGGGTTTTGGGTTTAAGGCTTAGGGTTTAGAGGTTTGGGGGTTTAGGGTTTAGGTTAGGTAGACCGTTTGAAGCAGACTGTCAGCAGACTGTTGTCCTCGGACGCAGGTCCTTTCATTCTACAGCAACTCGCACCGGCGCATTGAGAAGTCTCATCTGCAGGACTACCCATACACGGCGCGAATGTGGAGGCGTGAGACGATCCTTGAGGATCCATCGCTCAGATTCGACGACGGCGCTTGCAGCTACCTGTACGCCGGGCATCTCGGCTTTAATTGGGAACGATTGCAGCTGTGAAGCAATAACCGAGCTCGCCCATTTCTCCACAAGTTGCAGCTGTGGGCTTCGTGCCATCTCCGATGCTGCTGACGGTCTTGTTGGCTCTCAGTATCCCGAATCTATCAAATTTCCATGAACGACCTCTTCCTGCATCGGTAATCTCCTAAAAACCCGCATCTTTCGAGCACTTGCATCGGCCTGAGGTCTGGCATGGGGGTTTTGAAGGGATTAAAAACCGACTTAGCCGATCTATTAAGAAGTCTACTTCAGGGACCCTCGGGAAATACGGGCGTTCAGCGCTTTTCGGACGCTGCGGGGAAATGCGTGCGTTTAGGCAAACAGCTGTTAATAAAGAAGCGTTCAGCTACCCAGGTGGAACGACCCATGCAATCCGGGACACAGCCATGGCGGCCTCAAGGTCTACATCCGCAAAGCCTCCAGCACGCACTCGGTCGTTGTTCCCGTTAGCGTGCAGCCTTGCTTCTGAGCCGGGAATTTCCGGTTCCCAGGGTCAGACGCCGATTTTCCAAGCTACGGCCTGGCCGATTCTTGGCTTTACTCACGAGAGCACGCAGGTGAAGCTACTTGTCCGCAATGGAAGTACAACACCTGATAAGCTGGTTACGGGCGGCCTATGGTGGTACACCAAGGTGCGAGGTAGGGAATGACTTGGACGATGGCTATGAGTATATGCGCCGTGGTGTCAAGTGTCATGTCGCCTTTGTTGCTGCTTGCGATCTTCCACAGTGGCTTGCCTTGCATCCTTAAGGTACAATGCCGACAGATTTGGAGACAACCCAGTCTGCGGCACCGGCGCTTGGTGCTGCAGGCGACCGCGCGACGTGGATCCCAAGGCATGATAGCCCGATGGCACTTTCCACATGCACCACGACTCTGCAGTTCCCTGTAGGCATTGGAGTGCTGCGGGGTGAACCAAGCACCATGCGAGACAACCTGCAAAACGTTGTCAAGTCTCCAGTTCGAACTCCTTGACAGAACAAGGTGCCCCGGCATCCAAAGTCACTTTTGAGGACGAGGTTTACCGGGTTCTTTGAGGAAAGCGAGGCATCAGGTGGTCAGCGGACAAGGAAGCTCCGTGAAGATCCACGAAGCAGCGCAATCTGGCTAGCTGGGGTCTGAGATTTGGGGGGTCTCGTGATGGGCTTGCGGTGGGTGCCAGCGACGTGGCTGCTTGACCTTGACGAGGGCTTCATGTGCCCATCAACCTGTCGTCCACAAACTCGGAAATTCGTTCAGTACCTCTGGGAAGTTTGATAACTGTTGCCAGCGACACCAAGAAGTCGAAGCGTCGAAGGGGGCTTCGTGTTATCCTGTCAACTGCATCGCAATGGGTTTAGCGGGCTCCGTTCATCGTAAGTCGTAAGACGTCGTAAGCTTGATCCAGGGCTGCGGAAGCGGCGCGAGCAGTGAGGAACCTTGCCAATAGCAAAAGCCTAAGCAGAGACGTAACAGTTCGACCAAAGGAAGAGTTGCTTGAAGAATTTTGGCCTCGAAAGTCTCGAAAGACTTGTTGTGGTGGAGGTTGCTTGTGTGCAGCAACTGCAAGATCCGGCCTGACCGAACAGTGCTTTTGGATACGCAGCCCTTAGACCAGCGGAGCGTATTGAGGTGTTCTCGCAACTTCTGAAACTTCGAGCTTCACAGTCTCCGGTTTCCTGTATGCCTGTATGCCCCAGTATACTACTAGAGTATGCTACTACAGACTTTAGTCCCAGGATCAAGGGTCTAGCCACGTAAGTTCCAAGACGAAGAAGCTGCCCGTGCTCTTTGAAGGCAAGTTCATAGAGCAGTTGCATGATGCCCCATGCAATGTGTCGGCAGCATACACGTCATGCGAGCATGCGTCACAACTTGAATCCTGAGCGCTGCGCTCTCGGGCTGCTTCTTCTTAGTTTATGAAAGTGCACATGTTCCTGCCGGTAATACATTCGCATTTCACATCTGTCGTAAGTCGTAAACCACTGTATCATGACAGGGGGTATGGCGAGCTTTGGTTTTCGGGTCCGAGACACAGCCCAGCGTTAGTGCCCGTTCGTGTATTTCTGATAGATTTTAGGGTTTAGGGTTTAGGCGTACGGTCATACCTCGTACCACAGCGGGCTATGGCTATGGTGCAGCGACTCATGATTTAGGATTACTGCAGCTGAGGCTGAAGCAAGACAAGACAAAGGCTTTGTACAACGGCTTGATGCAGAAGAGCAGCTACCACTACGTCAATAACCTCATACTGCCGGAGACTAACCTTGCCAAGAGGCGAAAGCTTTTCGATCAGTCTATGAGCCTCTTAAAGCCTGCCGAGCTTTTGTTGGAGAACAAGCTGACCTACGAGGCTGCAGTTCCCACAGCGAGTCCCGCCTGTGCAGAAAACTTCTTCAGGGTGTTCGCCTAAGTTAGTCAAGGCTGTACCGATAGGCTTTTTCCTCCGAGCAGAGCCAAGGCAAAAGCACAGTCTTTCGGTGAAGGTCCCCTTTGCTTCGGGCTATGCGAGTCTGGTCGTGCTGAGGAAGGGCGGCTCCGGTCTGGACGGTGTGAGCATCAACGGTATCGCACATGCGGCGAAGCCCTCCAGTTCCCAAACGTCTCCGGAGTCCTTGAACTTTGAGTTCTCGGCTAAGACGATCACCGTGGAGGGCGTCCACAAGTGGGCTGATCAACTGCAGCCAGGCTCTGAAGTCCTGCTGCACGTTCAGCCAACGCCGCTGCCGGAGATGTTGGACTGGGGCACCCACCCCGTCCGCCACTCCTGCGTCGAGTCCGCGAAGTATCTCGAATGCACAAATCCTTCTGAGAACTCCGGTCAGGGGGAAATCACCGTCCCGTTGCTGGAGAACGGGCGCTGGGAGGTCAACTTCTACATGCGCTTGGAGACCATGGATCCTGGGCAGCACAGGTTTTCCCATAAGCCTTAAGAATTCCTGGGACGTTGCCTGAAACATTGCTGAGGCCCCGCAGGAAAGCTTCAGCGACGCAGCATTGACATTCACGATGCCGGGGACGGACCACTGGCAAGCTATCATTCTCGACTCCATCGACGGGACGCTGTATGAAAACTGGTACCATCAAGAAATTGCCGAGACCGGTGTTGACATGTCGCCGTACTACGGGAGTCCGGGGCCATCAGCAGTCCAAGCAGGAAAGTGGCACCACTACAAGCTGATCAGGCGCAGCATTGAAGCTACTGTAAAAAATACTTTATCGCGTCTATAGCCTATAGAGTGGACCTTGAGCCTTGAACCGTTCGGCAAAGAAGTCTGGTTCTCATGAGACAGCGGTGGAAGGTGGCATAGCAAAGCTCAGAACATGTCAAGGCGGCCACTGAGCAAAACGTCTCACACTCCACGATGACCGCATATTTCTATCAGTCTCCCCTTGATCTTTGCGAGTTTTTTCTCGGTGATGACATGTGCAGCTTCACCTGCCTGCAGGGCTAGATTCGGTGCATCTGGCCTTGGTCATACCGCCCATCCACCCCTTCCGCAGGCAATCATCTTGAGTGAGTCTGCAGAATCTGCACAGATTCGGTCCAGAATAATTGTGCGTGAACGTTCTCAAATGTTTAATGCTTACAACCGTCTCAAACCTTCCTCAAGCTCGCTCCACGGTTCGCAACGGTTGCAATGGTGGCCGGTGGGCCTCGGGTGGAAAGGGTGGGATGGGGTGGAGGGGTCTTGCAAGCCATTGAAAACAATGCCATGGTCGACAGGGTTCATGTCCAACAGTCAAAGAGCGTTCTTCCACTTGTTCAGATTACATGAGCGAAGAAGTTGGCACGGGCTAACAGCATTTCCGAGTCAAACTCACGCGCTTCCGCTTGATAGGGGGTTTCGCTACTATTTCTTCCGCAAAATAAACGACGTACATTAGTTTAAAATGATTTTATGGTAGACATGGCTGAATGTTCAACCGCGTTCAATCGTTTCAAGCCAAGGAAAACCCCTGCGTGTGCAACGGCTGGAAAACAACAAGCACAGCTCGCACAGACCCCAACGTCCCTGAAGGTCTTGCATACATGGTGATTTCAACATTGCTATTTTTTTGAGGTCTGTCCTACCTTTGGGTGACCGATAGATTACATAGTCAAGCTCATTGCTCCAACAAATTGATGCAGGAGAGGAAAGCATCTCGCCGTCCTGTTGGATGAGAAGCTGCTCTGGGACTGTTCAGTGTATAGCACTGAGATTGTCTCAGTAACGATACGTCCATGGCGCAACACGGGCCGGATCTGGGGCCTCACAGCAAGCTATGAGGGGGTCGTCGCGTTTCCGCCATTGAGCGTGCACGGGGAGGACTGGATGTGTACTGCCATTAACAGTTGTCCTTCATACAGAGGATCCGTCTTGGTGGGCTATGACCTGAACCTGCACAACCTCGTCGAGGAGCCAGGATCCGGAGACTACGGGGAGACAAAAACGAAGAAGTTCATCGCGTGCAGTTTTGGTCCGGACGGAAGCTACATCTCCTCGGCCTGGTCTGGCCAGGGTTGGTTCCTCAGCCGGCCCCCGAAGTACATGAGCGGCACCGGGGGTTTGAAGGTGTCAGCCGTGACATTGCCTGCCTTCACCCTCCCAGACCACATCTCATTCGACATGCTGGTGGCCCCGCCGTCCCAGGACCTCTGGGACTTCGGCTTCACGCCACGGTGCCCGGCCTGCAAGAAGAACATCTACGCGATCAGGCAACATCCATCAGGCGGCGATCCTTGGGATGCCCCCTGCTGAGACATGCGAGATGAATCCTTGTGATGTTAGTGTGAGAACATGATTCTCGTTCTGCGCCCCATCGAGATTAGCTTGCCCCTTGAAAAGGGGGACGCTGCTCGGGGTGCACTGCCTGGCAGCGAAGCACAGCTGGGGTGCCGGCATGGGGTGTAAGATGTAGGCTTTAGGATCATTCCCTTATATTTTGGATCCAATTCTGGCTGTGCCGGGCCGGCCGACAAGGCGTGGGGCCCATTTTTGTTTTAGATTTGCTGCCGGGTGGTTTCCACAGGAGAGGAACCCGGCGTCAAAACATGTCAGGCAGACATGGGTAGGCCCTCGCACGTATAAGCCTCAGAAGAAAGCCCTTGAGGCTAAAGGCTGGTCTTTATGGCCGCTACTTGTAGTTTCCTCATCCTGGCTGGATCTTATTGTTTAATTTACCTTGCCATGCACGGACTGCTCGTGCGGACCTGCCGCGTATGAGTGGGTCTATGAAACTGAAACCGTCAGTCTCTGTTGGTGAAGACTTGCTTCACTTGGGGTACGTGGTTGGGTGCGTGGTCTGGCCTGGAACAGCTACACCGTATCAAGATTCAGAGATGTTATGTTGGAAGGAAGAAGCTTTGTGTGCCCGAGTCGCTGTTGAAGCGATACTTGTTTTCTGCATACACGACTAACCTCGCAAAAACACAAGCAGGCTTTTCTCAGATTATTCTGTTCCCCCGGGCCAACAACACCTTGCACCTGCATTGAACCACGGCCACCACAGCAATGCGCAGTTGAAGCTGGGCACCTGCCATCAAGCCCCTGCGGTGTTGCCATGCTGTCGGCCTCACATGTTTGGATAGAGTCATAGCGCGCAAGAACAAAATGAGTCCTTTCCGAGAGGCAAGCCATGTATCGAATTGCATCACATGCTACTTGTAGCTACAGCCCATGACACAGGGCTTTTGTGCCCTGTACACGCGCTGCAAACAGTTCGCCTGCAGGTGTCAATTGACTCTGACTGCGCTCCGGGCCGTGGTGACTATGACAGATGCAAATACAGTTGGCCACAAAAGCGGATCACGATCTGGTGCATCTTTAGTATGTTTGAAGAGAAGGGGACAGTGCCAACAAATGATGCTGTTGACCCTTTGTCAGTGCTTCTGGATTGTCATACAACCTTGAACTGCTGGCACTGAAGCGCTGCCATGTCGAGCATGCGCCGGTTCCGAGGACGTAGCCGTTTAGGCTGCCTCAGCTAGCCTACCCTACCCTATTCCTGTCAGAACTCCCTTCTGAAGCGGGACGGGAGCGGGATTCCTTCAACCACTTCGTTTTACTACAAAATGCAGAGTCGCGCCTCGCTTGCAGTCGGAGGGGCCTGATTTGCGCTTAGCTCCTATGGGTCGTATCCGTTCTCAATCTCATTCTGTGATCTTTCAGGATGTGCAAGGGTTTATTGTTCGAGAGACGACTTCTTACGGTCTTTTCAGTGCAGCTATATGGGGGTCGAAATGTTCCGATATAGCCTTGTAGTCCGTAATGTAACTTTAGTATAACAGCACCAGAAAGAAACACTATTCTGATCTCTAAAGCCCCATATTAACTGGTTTTTATTCTCTGCCCGCCGACGAGGACCTTCATGAAAAGCACGCAGCGCACATGCGTGCACGGCGTTGACCAAAAAACCCACAGTGTAGCTGAAGTATCGGATGCACCGTGTGCCGATGACATCCCGTCTCAATTCAGCGCCACTCGTTCCGCTGATGTCTCAGCTCAACCCAACCAGTTCTGTGTAGAACAGTGTCCATGCTTCTTCAATGTGAGTCAGTGCATTTTTCCGAGTCTTTGCGCTTTGAAAGAGCTACCAGGTGTACATGTGGCGGTGTCCAGCATCCAGGCATTTTTGCGGGCACATGCTACCCTCCATATGAGACTGGGCCGAAGTTAGATTCTAAGTTAGATCTTCAGTTTTTGTTCGCACGCGTTCGGAGTGGACCGAGCAGTTCTTCGTCCTAACCCTAGAAGAAACCTAACCCAAAAATCTCATCCCTAAACTTCTCGCCCGAATCTTAAATTCGTCGGCCTAGGCAAAGCTTTACACGGGGCTTTTGTTATGACACGAGCTTTTAGGGCATTCGGGCTAAGGGCTTCTGAAATGACCAAATCTAGAAGCCTGCATAATTACCAATACTATACCTTACATGTCTGCCCTCTCATAATTATACACGATAATAGACCCCAAAACCCTGCACGAGTCGGGACCCCGAAGCCCTGTTCTACTTATGGGTAGCAGCCCAGGCACCAGCTTAGGTTTCGATTCTTCGGAGCTCATCCGAAGATTAGGGTTTAGGGTTTTAGGGTTTTAGGGTTTAGGGTTTAGGGTGTTAGGGTTTAGGATTTAGGGTTTTGGGGTGTCTGGGTCGGGGTTTAACCCTTTAGGGTTTGAGGGTTTTCGGGTTGGAGGAGGGTTGTCGGGATAGGGTTTTAGGGTTTAGGGTTGTTGGGTTACGATTTTCAGGTTTGGTCACTGCGCTTCCAATCCTTGCAGCGCCATGCCGTACCCTAAACACTAAACCCTGAACCCTGAGTCCTTACCAACCTTGAGTCGCAAAATCTGAAGGTGTATGGCCCTCCACTTCCAGAGGTGAAACTCCGAAAGCAAGAAACTCTGAAAACTCCAACATAACCGCTAAGCCCCAACTCTAAACCCCTTAGCCTCAACTAAACCCTAAGACCTAGAACCCCAAACTTCAAAAAACGCACTCAAACCCTAACACGCCGTACCGTGAACCATCTAGATCCTTTATCATAGCGCCCTCATAGTTAGCCGTACAGTATACCTTAGAGTAACCCTAAGAAACCCTCATAGTAACTGTTGATGCACAAAAGGGCCTTGTGAGTGCAGGGATGCTTTGTAAAGGACGAACGGTTGAGCATCATGCTGCCGCTCATGTTTCTCCAGGGAGGGCTACGGAATTGCCCCTTGAGACCACGCGATTGATCAACATGCTTGATGTGCAAACATGTACAACAAAGGCTTTCCAAGCAGTTGACAAGACTTTCGCAGTTTGTGGAAAAAGAACTTTGCAATTCGACCGCGTTTGCCATGGATCAGGGCATAGATCCCGATTACAGAGCTGCCTTCCCGGATGTAAGCCCAGCTGTACCGCATCAACAGGGTATGAGCCCAAATCACGCAGACGTGACTGCCGCTACTGATGCACAAGAACATGCTGGAGACACCACAATGGTGGCTGGTGGTCAGGGAGCAGCGCAAGCGCAAGAGACTGGAATCGCTGTGAGGGCTATGGCGGTGGCGGTGGCCACTGGTCAAAGTCCGGGCGGGACCAGCTGGCCTGTGGAAGGTCAATATGGCCCAGCGGAGGAGCCGAATCGTGGTCCCACAGAAGTGATGGGAATGCAGTGCGGGCAGATGAATGCTGCACAGGCGGCGCAGCAGCCTGCACCTATGTGGAATCCTTCGCCGCTCGGGTCTCCCCCGAGTGGTGGTCGGGCGATGGGATCGCCGGAGTCAGAGCAAGGAGTGTGGATGGCACAGGCTCATGGCGATCGGCCTCTGTTGACTCGTGGCCAGAGGGAACAGCTTCAGAGGATGGAGCAACGGGCACCGCTACTTTATGGACACCAACAGCGAGGCTATGAGGGCAGTTCAGGTGGAAGCGGTGGGAGTACGTATGAAGCGGTGCAAGATGAGGTCAGAAGACAGGTGCGTGGTGTGGTGGAACAGCTGGAAGCCTCTCGACAGGAGGCTAGTGAGCTGAGGCGCGAGATGGAGCGTTTGCAGGTGGCCCGTGAGCTGGAGGATCAGAGGCCGGAGCAGTGGGTGCAACCACAAGGTCCGCCGAGAGCTCTGGGAGGATACCTTGCAGAGGGGAATGCTTCAGGCGCAAAACCTACAGGATCTTCTACCCCAAGGGCGTCGGGCTTATTAGCAAGAACCTCAATGTCGGCGGAGACTCCAACTTTTGCAGGATCTTCTACGTGCGGGGGATCGGGCTTGCAGTTGGGAGCCACCACAACGAATGTGCCGGCATTGCCTACAGGATCTTCTATGTGCGGGGGATCGGGCTTGCAATCAGGCGCTACCGCGACGGCTGTTCCGTGTTTGCCTACAGGATCTTCTATGTGCGGGGGATCGGGCTTACAAGCAACGAGTGGTGCAACCCCAGCGCCGTCAAGTTCAGCTGGTGCTGTACCTGTGGTTCCTAGTGCCATGCCCTCCAGCTCCTCAGACCCAATGTCCCGTCTCCTGGAAGGTCTCGAGAAGGTGATCAAGGGTGGAGGAAAGCCAGAGGAGCTGAGTAAGGTGGTAGAGGGACCAAAGTTGCCGGGGGAGCCTCGGTTCTTCTGGGAGCAGTACCGGAGGATGTCAAGAAGGAGCTGATCGCTTCTAGGGCGAAGAGTACCCTGGATGTGTTGGCTCGCTTGATGGTGCTGTACCGTCCGGGGAGCGCTATGGAGAAGGGACAGCTCTTGAAGAGGATCGAGACCCCGGAGCCGTGCACCACGACGCAGGATGCGGTAGAAGGCCTAAGACAGTGGCTGAGGTACTACCAGAGGGCCAAGGACTTGAAGCTTAGCATTCCGGACCCGTCCATCCTGGTGAAGGCTTTGGATGGGATGCTGAAGAAGCCGGTGAGTGATCACCAGGATGTTGGGTTTCGCATGAACCTCCTACGGTATCACTTGAAGGTAGACTTCTTGCCCTCCGAGGAAAGCGTTCTGGCAATCCACCGGGCGTTCTTGGCGGAGTTTGAGCAGATGGGGTACAAGAAAAAGGCGAAGCAGGGTCCGGACCCAGCGCCACCTCCCCGTCTGCGAGCGATGGAAAAGGACCAGCCTCAGCTGCCAACGTCGCCAGTGAAGGACGGCAAGGGAGGGCAGAAACCGTGCCGTTTTTACCTGTCCGACGAAGGCTGCAGGAGGGGAAAGAGCTGTCGTTTTGAGCATACCATGAAGGACCTCTCGAAAGCAGAGCGGCGAGACCGTTGCTACGAGTGTGGAGCGAAAGGACATCTGTCGGCTTCGTGTCCCACCCGAAGGGAGCCGCAGCAGAAGGCTCTTGGAGTTGGAGATTCGCCCCAGTCGTCTACAGGTGGAACCAACGGAAGGCGTGGGGGCAGCAGCCCGAAAGGACCAAAGGGAGGTGGAGCAGAAGAAGCTGAGACAGTGAACGTGGTTCCCGCGGAGGCGACGGCTGCGGCAACAGCAGCAGCAGAGGCACCAGTCCAAGGAGTTCCGGTCGAACAGCTTTTGGAAGATGCCCAAAGGCTGATGAAGGCCTTTATGGAACAAAAGAGCGGGCCCCAGGCCAAGGTTTTTCGGGTCAATGATGTGAAGACGCTTGAGTTGCAGGAGGCGCCGGCCTTGAAGGAGCTCATGAGGACTGAGGGGAACTTCGCTTCAGTATGTCGTATGGGATTGCTGGACTCTGGCGCTACGCACCCACTACGCCCAAGGACGGAGAAGGATGAGACCAGTGGATTGGGCAAGGTCAGCGTGACGTTGGCTGGAGAGAATAAGGTGGAGATGCAGCAGTCCAGAGCCGGGACCATCCTGGGCTCGGAAGGTACCCAGGCGATCGTGCCCCTGGGCACGGTGGTGAAGCAGTTGGGCTATGAGTTCGGTTGGAACCGACGGGGTTGTTTCCTTCGTCACCCAGACAAAGGGGAAATCCGAGTATATACCAGCTCAGCGTGTCCGGAAATCATGCAGACAGATGCTTTGCGACTCATTGGAGAGTTGGAGGAAGCAAAGTTGGCAGAGACCATGGAGTCCTTGGCAACGTTGAAAGCGGCAGTTGCCGCTGCCAAAGGACACACGCAGTGGACCTGGAAGGACGCGATCAAGGAGTATGTGGCTGGGGGGGAACGTGAAGCTGGAGTTCGTGCTGTTCTGGCTGCACCTTTCATGCACCACGTACCAATGGAGGACCAGCTAAGGATCATGGCTGCCATCCCAAGCTCGAGTGAGGAGGCGTGGAAGTGGATGAAGTCGTTCCCGCTCAACCGGGCAAAGAGAAGGCAGTTGTGGCAAGCTCCAGAGTGGGTCGTACATATGTTCTCAGGAAAGGGCGTGAAGAATGACCCCTTGCGTGAAATTCAAGGACTTCTTGAGATTGACCTACAGAAGGGATGGAACCTCAACGACGACAAGATCTACGGTGTGTTGCTGTGGGCGGCGTTGAACAAGAAGGTCAAGCATGTGGTGGGAGGACCGCCGGGAGGAACCTTCTCGCCTTACAGGTATCGTGGAGGAGCGGAAGGCCCGAAGCCAGTGCGTTCAAACCATGAGCCGTGGGGATTACGAGAGGGCCTGAGTGTTGATGAGACAGTGAAGGTGAAGAATGAGAACCGCATGTTGCTGCGCATGGTGTGGTTATGGGCCTTTGCGGAGGCGACTCATGATGATCCAGAAGTACCAGGACACAAAGTGGGTTTTTGCTTGGAGTTCCCGGAAGATCCAAGGGAGTATCTGCCGGAAGGGTCTCAGAAATCCCAGTGTGTCTCTATGTGGAGAATGGAGTTCATCAAGGAGTTTGTGCAAGCTACCCACTTTGACAAGGTGAAGTTTGAGCAAGGGGCTTTGGGACACATGTTGCGTAGACCCACATGCTGCTTGACAAACCTGCGTTTGGGAATTCACGGCTTGAAGGACTCGAGAGCATGGGTCAACGCGGATGGTGCCGATCCAGACCAGTCGGTCTGGCCCCATGGCTTCCGAATCACCTTGGCGGATGCAGTACATGAGTGGAATGCTGCAGGCGGGGGAGTCGCGCTCAAGAAGGCCATGACAAAGACTGAGTTGGAAGAGTGGAAGGCCCATCTAGATCGAGGACATTGGCCTTATCGCAGAGATTGCTCTGTATGTTTGGCTGCATCAGGGACGGGAAGACCGGCTAGACGGGT